GTCACTCTGTTGTGCTAACAAATAGTAGGTATTATTCTATCTAATTAATTTTTTTTTACCCATTAACCGTTCCCACTCCCATCTTTCTCTTCCCACCCTCTGGTAATCTTCATTCTACTATCTTCATGAATTTGATTGTTTTAATTTTTAACTCCCACAAATAAGTGAGAGCATGCAAAATTTGTCTTCTTTTCCTGACTTATTTTACTTAACATAATGACCTGCAGTTCCATCATTTGTTGCCAATGACAGGATATTATTATTTTTCATGATAGAATAGTACTTTATTGTGTATATGTACATTTTTCTTATTTATCTGTTGATGGACACTTAGATTCCTTCCAAATTTTGACTACTGTGAATAGTGCTGCAATAAACATGATAGTGCAGATATCTTCTCAGTATACCAATTTTCTTTGTTTTGGGTGTATACCAAGCAGTGGGATTGTTGGATCATATTGTAGAATTATTTTTAGTTTTTTAGGCCATTTACACTCAATGTTAGTATTGAGATGTGAGATACTATTCTGTTCATCATGCTACTTGTTGCCTGAATACCGTGTGTGTGTGTGTGTGTGTGTGTGTGTGTGTGTGTGTGTTTTAATTTGTTGTGTTTATATATATATGTGTGTGTATATATATATGTGTGTGTGTGTGTGTGTTTGTTTGTGTGTGTGTGTATAGGTTCTGTAAGCTTTATGCTTTAAGGAGGTTCTATTTTGGCATATTTCAAGAATATGTTTAGAGATTTAGAGCTTTTAGCAGTTCTTATAGTGGCCGATTGGTGCTGGTGAATTCACTTAGCATTTGTTTATCTGAAAAATACTGTATCTTTACTTCATTTATGAAACTTAGTTTCACTGGATGCAAAATTCTTGGCTGATAATTGTTTTGTTGAAGGAGGCTGAAGGTAGGGCCCCACACCCTTGCTTGTAGGGTTTCTGCTGAGAAATCTGCTGTTAATGATAGGTATTTTTTTAAAATGGGTTACCTCATGCTTTTGCTTGGCATCTCTGAAGATTTTCTCCTGTGTCTTGACTTTAGATAAACTGATGACTATGTGCCTAGCCAATTATCTTTTTGCAATGAATTTTTCAGTTGTTCTTTGAGCTTCTTGTGTTTGGATGTCTTGATCTCTACAAGGCTGGGGAAGTTTTCCTCAATTATTCCCTCAAATAGGTTTTCCAAACTTTTAGGTTTCTCTTTTTCCTCAAGAACACCAATTATTCTTAAGTTTGGTCATTACAATCCCAGTTTTTTTGGAGGTTTTTTTCTTTTTTAAAAAATTATTTTAGTTTTGTTTTTGTTGGATTGGGTTAATTCAAAACCTTGTCTTTGCGCTCTGAAGTTCTTTTTTTTCGCTTGTTAGTTTCTATTTCTGATACCCTCCAGTATATTTTGCATTTCTCTATGTATATCCTTTATTTTCAGAAGTTGTGATTATTTTTTTATTTATGCTGTTTATTTTACTGCAGATTTTCCCCTTCATATCTTGTATGATTTTTTTTTTATTTCATTAAGTTGGACTTCACCTTTTTCTGTTGCCTCCTTGATTAGCTTAATAATCATCCTTCTGAATTCTTTTTCTGGCAATACAGGGATTTCTTCTTTATTTGGATCTATTGCTGATGATTTATTGTGTCTTTTGGGCAGTGTGTATTAACCTGTTCTTACGCCGCTATTAAAGACATACCCAAGACTGGGTAATTTATGAATAAAAAGAGGTTTAATGGACTCACGGTTCCACATGGATGAGGAGGCCTCACAATCATGGTGGAAGGAAAAAGGCACTTCTTACGTGGTGGCAGCAAGAGAGAATGAGAACCAAGCAAAAGGGATTTTCCTTATAAAACCATCAGATCTCATGAGACTTATTCACTGCCACGAGAGAAGTATGGGGGAACTGCCCCCGTGATTCAATTATTTCCCACTGAGTCCCTCCCACAACACTTGGGAATTATGGGAGCTAAAATTCAATAAGAGATTTGGGTAGGAACACAGCCAAACTATATCAATCCACTCCTGGTTCCTCCCAAATCTTATGTTCTTACATTTCAAAACCAGTCATGCCTTTCCAACAGTCCCCCAAAGTCAACTCATTTCAGCATTACCTCAAAAGTCCACAGTCCAAACTCACATCTGAGACAAGGCAAGTCCCTTCTGCCTATGATTCTGTAAAATTAAAAGCAAGTTACTTACTTCCTAGATACAATTGTGTACAGGCATTGGGTAAATACAGGCATTCCAAATGGGTGAAATTGGCCAAACAAAGGGTCTACAGCCCCCATGTAAGTCCAAAATCCAGCTGGGCAGTCAAATCTTAATCTCCAAAATGATCTTTTAATTCATGTTTCACATCCAGGTCACACTGATGCAAGAGGTGGGTTTCCATGGTCTTACACAGCTCTGCTCCTGTGGCTTTGCAGGGTATAGCCTACCTCCCAGCTGCTTTCACAGGCTGGCATTGAATGTCTGCAGCTTTTCCAGGTGCATGGTGCAAGCTGTTGGATCTACCATTCTGGAGTCAGTAGAACAGTGACCTTCTCACAACTCCAAAAGGCAATGCCCCAGTGGGGAGCCTCTATGGGGGCTTCAACCCCACATTTCCCTTCCACATTGCCCTAGCAGAGGTTCTCCATGAGAGCCCCACCCCTGCAGCAAACTTTTGCCTGAATATCCAGGCATTTCCATACCTCCTCTGATATCTAGGTGGAGGTTCCCAAACCTCAGTTATTAACTCCTGTGCACCCAGAATCTCAATACCACATGGAAGGTGCCAGGGCTTGGGGCTTTCACCCTCTGAAGCTACAGCCCAAGCTTTATCTTGGCCCCTTTTAGCCATGGCTAGAGTGGCTGGGATGCCAAGCACCGATTCCCTAGGCTGTACACAGCAGGGGGCCCCTGGGCCTAGCCCACAAAACCCTTTTTTTCTTTCTATGCCTCTTGGTCTGTAATGGTAGGGGCTTTCACAAAGGCCTCTGACGTGTTCTTGGTGATTAACATTTTCTTGGCGATTTAACATTTGGCTCCTTGTTACTTATGCAAATTTCTGCAGCCAGCTTGAATTTCTTCTGAGGAAATGGGTTTTTTTCTATCACATCATCAAGCTGCACATTTTCTGAACTTTTATCCTATTTCCCTTTTAAAACGGAATGCTTTTAAAAGCACCCAAGTCACCTCTTGAATGCTTTGCAGCTTAGAAATTTTTTTCTGCCTGATACCCTAAATCATCTCCCTCAAGTTCAAAGTTTCACAAATCACTAGGACAGGGGCAAAATGTTGCCAGTCTCTGCTAAAATATAGCAAGAGTCACCTTCACTCCAGTTCCCAAAAAGTTCCTCGTTTTCATTTGAGACTACTTCAGCCTGGATTTAATTGTCTGTATTATTATTAGCATTTTTGTCAAAGCCATTCAACAGGCTAGAAAGTTTCAAACTTCCCCACATTTTTCTGTCTTCTTCTGCGCCCTCCAAACTGTTCCAGCCTATCCCTGTTACCCAGTTCCAAAGTCACTTTCACATTTTTAGATATCTTTACAGTAGCACTCTACTCTACCAGTAGCAATTTACTGTATTAGTCTGTTCTCATGCTGGTAATAAAGACATACCCGAGACTGGGTAATATATAGGGAAAATGGGGTTTAACGGGCTCACAGTTCCACATGGCTGGGGAGGCCTTACAATCATGACAGGAGGCAAAAGACACTTCTTACTTGGTGGCAGCAAGAGAGAATGAGAACCAAGCAAAGTGGGTTTCCTCTTATGAAACCATCAGATCTCATGACAGTTACTTACTCCCACAAGAACAGTATGGGGGAAACTGCCCCCATGATTCAGTTATCTCCCACCAGGTACCTCCCACAACATATGGGAATTAGGGGGATCTATGATTCAGAATGAGATTTGGGTGGGGAAACAGCCAAACCATGTCAGAGTGCTAAAGAACCTTGTTTTGTCCTATTACCAGAATTGTTTTTCTGGTTTTTTTCTCATTTGGGTAGACTATGTCAGAGGGAAGATCTGTGTCTTAAGGGCAACTGTTCAGATTCTTTTGTCCCATGGAGTGCTTCATTGCTGTAGTACTCTCCCCCTTTTCCTAGGGATGTGGCTTTCTGAGAACCAAACTGCAGTGATTATTTCTTTTCTGGATCTAGCCACCCAGCAGAGCTACCAGGCTCCTGGCTGCTACTGGTGGTGGGGGGTTGGGGGGTCTGCACATAGCCCTGTGATGTGAACTGTCTTCAGGTCTCCCAGGCATGGATAGCTGTACCTACTATGATGGTGGTGGCAGTGGAGTGAAATGGACTCTGCAAGGGTCCTTAGTTGTAGTTTTGCTTATTGCACTAGTTTTGTACTGTTTGGGTTGCCAAGAGGTGGCACTTTCAAGAGAACATCAGTTGTTGTAGTATAGGGGTGATCAGGCAATGGGCGGTGGGGAGACCTAGAACTCCCAAGTTAATATGTCCTTTGTCTTTTGCTACCAGAGTGGGTAGAGAAAGACCATCACATGAGGGTAAGGTTGGGCATGTCTGAGCTCAGACTCTCCTTGTGGGGCCTGTTGTGGCTGCTGTGGGGGCTGGCACTCTTGTTCTCAGGCCAATGGAGTTATGTTCCCAGGGAGATTATGGCTGCCTCTGCTGTGTCATGCAGGTTGTCAGGGAATTGGGGGAAAGAGAGCCATTACAGGCTTAATCCAGCTCCCACACAGCCCAAAAGGCTAGTCTCACTTCCATCATGCTCCACCCCCAACAGCACCAAGTTGGTTTTCAGGTAGCAGTTGAGCAGGGCTGAGAGCTTGTCCCAGGCTACCAGCCTTCTGGCTGTGAAAGCAAGCAGGGCTTTCAGGTTTCATGCTTTCCCACCTGCTGTGGCTTCTGTGTTGTATCTGCATTCTGGATTTACCTCCTCCCTTGATTTCTGTCCAGGAAACTTCACGTTAGGTGGAATTTTTTTTTACAAAGTTCAGCTGGAAGTTTTCTTCTTCCTGTGGTCTTTTCCCAGTTCCTCTGGCAGCTCTCCTTAAAGACCTCTGCAAGACAAAGTAAGAAATGACTTCTTTGGGGGCCAAGAGCTCACAGAGCACTTCCCGCTGCTTCTTCGACCCCTACATTTTGCTCGGCTCTAAAATCATCTCAGTTCCAGGTAAGGTCAAATCCTTCTCCCATGATCTGGACCCTGAGGTTCCCCAGTGAGGGTATGTGTTCAGTGGTAGATGATCCCCCTTTCAAACTTTCACATTTTGGGCACTCACAGGTTTTGGGATGTCTCCTGGGGCGTGCAGGAGCAATTTGCTTTCTTCAAAGGGTCTATGGATTCTCTTAGCTTTCCTTGTATATTCATGCAGTAGTTTTGGAGCAAGAGTTCATAATGTGAATCTCCACACACTGCTCTATCCTGAGTAGGAGCTACAACTTAGTCCTGCCTCCTATCTGCGATTTTCATTTCCTCTCCTCAGGCACTCTATTTCTTTTGATTGGAGATTTTAGTCCACTTATATTCAATGTTATTATTGCTTGATTTATTTCTTTCATTTTCTTGTTTCCTGCTGTTTTGTTGTCTTCTCTTCCCTCCTTTCCTTTCTATCTTCCTTTCAATGAAAGTGATTTTCCCTGGTGCTGTCTTTTAATTTCTTGCTTTTTTGGGTTATCTGTTGTATATATTTTTTTTTATTTTTGTTTTTTGGTTTTTTTTTTATTTGAGGTTACCATGAGGCTTGCAAATCACATAATATATTGTTTTAAACTGATGACAAGTTAACAATTACATAAAAACAAGCCAGCAAAGAGAAAACTAATAAAAACTCAAAATTTTAGCTTTTTCCTTCCTACTTTTTTTTTGTTTATTTAAAAAATATTATTATACTTTAAGTTTTGGGATATATGTGCAGAACGTGCAGGTTTGTTACATAAGTGTACACTCCATGGTGGTTTGCAGCACCTATCAACCTGTCCTCTACATTAGATATTTCTCCTAATGCTATCTGTCCCCTAGGCCCCCACACCCTGAATGGCCCCAGTGTGTGATGTTTCTTTCCCTCCCTGTGTCCATGTGTTGTCATTGTTCAACTCTCACTTATGAGTGATAACGTGGTGTTTCATTTTCTGTTCCTATGTTAATTTTCTGAGAATGATGGTTTCCAGCTTCATCCATGTCCCTGCAAAGGACATGAACTCATTCTTTTTATGGCTGCATAGTATTCCATGGTATATATGTACCACATTTTCTTTATTAATCTGTTGATGAACACTTGAGTTGCTTTCAGATCTTTGTTACTGTAAACAATGCTGCAACAAAGAAATGAGGGCAGCTATCTCTTCAATATACTGCTTTTCTTTTTAAAATTATTTAAATATCTTTGTTACATTTATCTGATAGATACGATTTTGGATTCTGTATGTTATCTGACAGGATTCTGGATAAATCCCACTTGGTCATGGCAAGTGACCTTTTCTAATGTATACTCAGCAGTGAGATTTCTTGATCTTATGGTAGCTCAGTGGTTAGTATTTGAGGAACTCTAAACTGTTCTCCATAGTGATTATACTAATTTTTATTCCTACCATAGTAAACAAGGGTTCCCTTTTCTCCACATCCTTGCCAGCATTTGTTATTGCCTGTCTTTGGGATAAAACCCATTTTAAATGAGGTAAGATTATATCTCATTGTAGTTTTGATTTGCATTTATCTGATGACCAGTGATGTTGAGCACCTTTTCATATGCCTGTTTCCCGTTTGTATATCTTCTTTTGAGAAATGTCTATTCCAATCTTTATGCCATTTTTAATCAGATTATTCAATTTTTTCCAGTAGAGTTATCTGAGCTCCTTATATATTCTGGTTATTAATCCCTTGTCAAATGGGTAGTTTGCAAATATTTTCTTCTATTCTGTGGGTTGTCTCTTCACTTTGTTCATTGTTCATGTTGCTATGCAGAAGCTTTTTAACTTGATGTGATCCCATCTGTTTATGTTTGCTTTGGTTATCTGTGCTTGTGGGGTATTGCTCAAGAAATTTCTGCCCAGATCAGTGTCATGGAGGCTTTCCCCCAGCATTTTCTTGTAATAACTTCATAGTTTGAGGTCTTTGATTTGAGTTTTTAATCCATTTTGATATGATTTCTGCATACAGTGAGAGATAGAGGCCTAGTTTCATTTTTTTATATATGGATATCCAGTTTTTCCAACATGATTTATTGAAGAGACTGTCTTTTCCCCAGTGTATGTTCTTTGCACTTTTGTCAAAAATGAGTTCACTGTAAATATCTGGATTTGTTTCTGAGTTGTCTATTCTATTCCATTGCTCTTTGTGTCTGTTTTTATGCTAGTGCCATGCTGTTTTGGGTACTATTGCTCTGTAGTATAGTGTGAAATCAGGTAATGCAATTCCTCCAGTTTTTTTTGTTTGTTTGTTTGTTTGTTTTTTCTTAAGATGGATTTGGCTATTCTGGGTCTTCTGTGGTTCCATATACATTTTAGGATTTTTTTTTCTTTTGTGAAAAATGTCATTGTTATTTTGATAGGGATTGTGTTGAATCTGTAGATTGCTTTGAGTAGTGTGGACATTTTACCAATATTTAGTTTTCGAATTTATGAACTTTTTTTTTTTAACATTTTTGGATGTCCTCAGTTGTTTACATCACTGTTTTATAGTTTTCATTACAGAAATATTTTACTTCTTTGGTTAATTTCTAGGTATTTAATTTTATATGTTGCTATTAATTGGAGTACTTTTTTTTTTTTAATTGTTCAGTGTTGGCATACAGAAGTGCTACTGGTTTTTGGTTTTGAATGTATATCATGCAACTTTACTGAATTTATCAGTTCTAATAGTGTTTATGTTGGAGTCTTTGGATTGTTTTAAATATAAGTTCACATCATCTGCAAACAAAGATACTTTGACTTCTTTCTTTCCAGTTTGGATGCCCTTTAAATCTTTCTCTTTTCTGATTGCTCTAGCTAGGACTTACAGTACTATATTGAATAACAGTGGTGAAACTGGGCATTCTAGTCGTGTTCCAGATCTTAGAGAAAAGGTTTCAGTTTTTCTTCATTCTGTATGATACTAGCTGTGGGTGTGTCATTTTTCGCTTTCACTATGTTGAAGTATGCTCCTTCTGTCCCCAGTTTTTTAAGGATTTTTTATCATGAAGGGAGGTTGAATTTTATTAAGAGCTTTTTCAGCAATTAAAATAATCACATAGTTTTTATCTTTCATTCTGTTGATATGATGTGTCACATTGATTGATTGGCATATGCTAAAACATTTTTGTATCTCAGTGATAAATCTCAGTTGATCTTAATGAATGATCTTTCTAATATATTGTTGAATTTGGTTGCCTAGTGGTTTTTTCTTTTTTTCTTTTTTTTTTTTTTTGCATCAATAGTCATCAGAGATATTGCCCTGTACTTTTCCTTTTTTCATGTGTCTTTGTCTGGTTTTGGTATCAGGGTAGTACTGGCCTCATAAAATGGGTTTGGAGTATTCTCTCCTCATCTGTTTTTGGACTACTTTCAGAAGTATTGGTATTAGTTATTCTTTAAGTGTTTGGTAGTGTTCAGCGGAGAAGCCATCAGATTCCAGGCAGGCTTTTCATTACTGAGATATTTTTTATTGCAGCTTCAATTTCATTACATGATAATGGTCTGTTCAGGTTTTGGATTTCTTCCTGGTTCAATCTTGGTAGGTTGTACGCATCTAGGAATGTGTCCATTTTGTCTGGATTTTCCAATGTATTGGCACATAGTTGCTCATAGTAGCTAATAATGTTCCTTCCAATTTCTGTGGTATCAGTTGTAAGGCCTCCTTTTTCATTTCTGGTTTTATTGGGATTTTCTCTTTTTTTCTTAATTATCTGGCAGAAGTTTCTCAATTTTGTTTAACTTCAAAGTCAACTTTTTGTTTCATTGATCTTATATGTTTTTCATTTTAATTTTACTTCTCTGATCTTTATTATTTTCTACTAATTTTGCATATCATTTGCTCTTGATACTCTCTCTTAGATGTACTGTTAGATTGTTTCTCTGAAGTTTTTCCTCTTTTTAGATGTAGGCACATATAGCTATAAACTTCCCTATGAGTGCTGCTTTTGCTGTATACCATAGGTTTTGGAATGTTGCGTTTCCATTATCATGTTTTCAAAAATTTATTTCAGTTTCCTTCTTAATTTCTTCTTTGATGCACTTGTCATTCAGGAGTGTATTGTTTAATTTCCATGTATTTGTATAATTTCCAAATTTCTCTTGTTATTTATTTCTGGTTTTATTCCATTGTGAACAGAGAAGATGTGTGATGTTCAATTTTTTTTAATGCTTTAACACTTGTTTTGTGACCTTACATGTGGTCTGTCCTTGAGAATCATGCATGTGCTGAGGAAAAGAATGTGTATTCTGCAACTCTTGGATGAAATTTTCTGTAAATATGTATTCATCTATTTGGTCTGTGGTGCAGATTCAGTCTGATCTTTTTTTGTTGATATTCTGTGTGGAAGTTCTGTCCAACACTGAAAGTAAATTATTGAAGTTTCCAGCTATCATTGTATTAGGGCCTATCTCTCCCTTTAGCTCTAATAATATTTTCTTTATATATATCGGTACTCCAGTGTTGGGTACATATATGTTTAAAATTGTTATATCCTCTTGCTGAATGAGCACCTTTTTCATTATATAGTGACTTCTTTATCTCTTCTTACACTTTTTGTCTTGAAACAGATTTTGTCTGATGTAAGTATAGCTACTTCTGCTCTTTTTTGGTTTCCTTTGGCATGGAATACCTTTTCTCATCTATTTTTAATTGTTTTTGTCTTTAAAGGCAAAATGTGGGTCTTATAGGCAACAGATCAATAGGTCTTCTTTTTTCTTTTTTCTTTTTTTTCTAATTTGAGGAGTATTTTTTTTAATTGCATTTTAGATTTGGGGTACATGTGAAGAACATGCAAGATTGTTGCATAGGTATACACATGGCAGTGTAATTTGCTGCTTCCTCCCCTTCACCTATATCTGGCATTTCTGCACATGCTATCTCTCCCCACCTCCCCACCCCCTCGCCCCTCCCCTATTTCCCCCCAACAGACCACAGTGTGTAGTGCTCCCCTCCTTGTGTCCATGTGTTCTCATTGTTCAACACCCGCCTATGAGTGACAGCATGTGGTGTTTGATTTTCTACTCTTGTGTCATTTTGCTGAGAATGATGGTTTCCAGGTTCATCCATGTCCCTACAAAGGACACGAACTCATCATTTTTGATGGCTGCATAATATTCCATGATGTATATGTACCACATTTTCCCTGTCCAGTCTATCATTGACGGGCATTTGGGTTGGTTCCAGGTCTTTACTATTGTAAACAGTGATGCAATGAACATTCGTGTGCATGTGTCCTTATAGAAGAATGATTTATAATCCTTTGGATATATACCCAGTAATGGGATTGCTGGGTCAAATGGAATTTCCATTTCTAGGTCCTTTAGGAATCGCCACACTGTCTTCCACAATGGTTGAACTAA